CTTAAGCCAAATGAAGAAAGATTTCATCGTAAGTCAGAGATCAAGGGAGGTTCATGGGGGAGGTGACACTGAAGTCACAGGGAGTGGATATTGAAAAGGTAGGATATAAAGTCCTGAGTCATGTCAAGTGAAGAAGGGTAAATTGTTGCCAAAGCACTGATTCCAGTGTTTACATTCAGAGGGAAAAATCAGTATTATAGCCTCATAGCCTCACTTGGTGCAAGAGGTACACAGAAAATATATGCAGGATGTGTCTTTAAAAAGGAGATATGCAGTTGAATTGCAACTGTTGCAAACAAACATCATACATGTTTATTGTTCAGGGGGTGTGTGTGTGTGTGTGTGTGTGTGTGTGTGTGTGTGTGTGTGTATGTGTGTGTGTGTGTTTCAAGACGGATTTTCCATGTGGTGGGTAAGGATGTCAACTGTGTTCTGACCAGCAACTTCCTGGAGTCCTGCAGTTAAGGGACAGGAGTGTGTGTGTGTGTGTGTGTGTGTGTGTGTGTGTGTGTGTGTGTGTATGTGATATTTTTGTGTAGTTGTGTAACAGTTTCCTTGAAGATTGAATGCTCCTTAAGCATGAAGGCAAACAATTCAAAAGAGCTTCAGGAAGTACCTGAAACTGACCAGATTCACTAGGTCCCTACCTGCCAGAGTAAGCAATAAAAACTGAGTCTCTCTCTCTCTCTCTCTCTCTCTCTCTCTCTCTCTCTCTCTCTCAGAAAAGCAGAGGCAAGCTGCAAAGAAGACTCTCAGATGGTGGGCTGATAGCTTTCCACAACTGTAAGACAAAATGAATCTTTCCTCCCTTGAATTGTATAAGTACAGTGGTTACTACGATGCAAAATTTACCACTGTATTTATACAAACTGGATTTGATATCTTGAAAAATCTGTCAGTCACTTTTAACAACCATGAGTTGATTTATTTATAAATCCTATATAGAAAGGATTTATTAGTTCAAAACCAGTTTAAGGGGACCATGTTAAAATAATTTATTAATTTTCTTCTTTGACTATTTAATACATGTATATAATGTATTCTGGTCACTCTCACCCTCATCAGTGTCCCTTATAGGCCCCTGCCTCATATTTGTGTCTTTATGTTTTGCTTATGATCCATTGAGTTTAGCCAGAGCCATTTGTGTGACCCTGGCTAGTTTTGAACTAGCCATTGGAATCAGTATTTTATATGCCCATAGACAACCAGCAGATACTTTGGTTTCATGTTTAGAAATCTTACATATCAGGTAAGAAGAGGCAGATTGAAAAGTACCACTTTCTCAGAAAAGAAAACCATTGCTTAAGACATGCCATTGAGTAAGCAACTCAAAAGGCAAAGGAAATTACTATTTACTAAAATGTATTCTCAGGAACTGGGGTGGTAGCTCAGTAAATCAAGTGCTTATTGCACAAAGGGACCAGAATTCAGACCCCAGAACTACGTAAAAAAACCCCAGCTGTGCTGACGCATGCTTGTAATCCAGTGCTGGGGAGATAGACATAGGTGGATCCATGAGGCCTGCCAGTCACTTGGCCAGCTCCAGACCAGTGAGAGTGTCTGTGTTAAAAAACAAGGAGGGCATCTCTGGGGAAATAGCCCCTGAGATTGTCCTCTGGCCTAAACAAGCACCTGTACACATGCACAGCTGTACACACATGTATTAACACATAAGTAAAATTTCTCTATTACATTCAACTTTTAGATTTTCAACTAATCATTATTATTCTTGATTGTTCTTATCTTGGGATTGCTTTCGGCTCTTGCCTATACTAATAAAATCCTTTATGGCATCATCCAAGCTCTAAGTCAGGTCAGATATGGTAAAAAACAAACAAACAAAAAGACAGGTGAGAGGCAGACACCCACAGATTAACACTGAGCTGAACTCTGGAATCCGGTTGCAGAGAGGGAGGAGTGACCAGGGGTCAAGACGAGGCTGGAGAAACCCACAGAAACAGCTGATCTGAACAAGGGGTGCTCATGGAACCTGGACTGATAGCTGGGAGACTAGCATAGGACTGATCCAGACCCCCTGAACAATGATGTCAGTTTGGACGTCTGGGCAATCTATGGGGCCTCTGGTAGTGAATTAGTATTTATCCCTCATACACAAATGGATTTTGGGAGCCCTCTCCACATAGAGGGATACTCTCTCAGCCTAGACACACGGGATGGGGTGGGGTCTAGGCCCTGCTCCAAATGATATGACAGACTTTGTAGATCCCCCATGGAAGGCCTCACCCTCCCTGGGGAGCAGAAAGGAGTTGGATAGGGGGTCAGTGGAGGGCAGGGGAGGAGGGGAGGGAGAGGGGACTGGGATTGACATGTAAAGGAAGCTCGTTTCTAATTTAAAATTGGTCTAACTGCAATTATAAAAATAAAATTAAAAAAGACAAGTCAGGGCCTTGGCAGAGCTGCTTCATGGTTTTGTGCAAAAAGACACATTTAAATGCTCAGAAGGAATGATGTTCCTGGATAAAAATGTGACATGAAACACACTTACTAGGGTGCATTTAACCTACTGACACCCAACTGATCTCAGGTTTGAAAGTGTGGCACCTTCCGCCATTTCTACAAAATATCCCATCTACCAGGGTGATTTTCAAACCATTTGAACTGCACATTTCTTTAAGGCAAAAATCTAAAATCAGAGCAGTGTTCTGAATCTTTATTTCCAAAAGAAGTCATTACCTACCAGCCTTCTACAGCTTGCAACATGATTTAGCTATTGTCTGTCAAGTTCATACATTTCATCTCCTGCCACTGTCTATATTTTATTTTCTGCCTTACATAAATGTAAAGGGCACAACCAGCCGGTTCTGAGCTCGTCAAACCCCTGACAACACAAATCATGCCAGATATAAATATTTTCATTGTCACAGCAAATGTTTCCAAAATCACAAACTCTGATGCCTTTGCAAATTGATTTGGAACATGTACAATGTACTGAACTGAAAAAGATAAAAGAAAAAAAGAAACACATCCCCCAAAACAAACAAAAGGCCCAAATAAACAATAATATTCTAATATATGAGAAACTGATTTTTTCTTTCCCAATACATTTCTTTATATCAACGTTTTCTTCTAAGATGACCTGACAAAAGGTGGAATATGAGTTGATTCTGTGTCATTTTGCCATCTCTCCCACTCTACTCCCAATGCATGCTTTGCCTAAAGACCTCTAGAATATATTCTGCAACATTTTCCTGCCTTTTCAAAAACAGTATTTTAATTAGAGTACAAAATAGTGGGTTTCATCATGACCTACTCCAGTAAGCATGTCACCGTCAGTTGATCATGGTCAACCTTTCATTATCCTCTCTTACTCCTCTCGCCCACCCCACTGTACCGCTTTCATTTTCCAAATATCTCCACATACATAGTACAACTTCCAGATTCTGCACAGGAGAGAAAATACACAGTGTTTTTCTTTCCTTCCCTAATGCCCCCTCATATTCCCATCATATATTACATACAACAAATGCATAGCCAGCATTTGACTCTGTGGAAACACTAGAAACATTTTGTTTTATTTCAGGAATGAGCCAACAGTATCTACTTCTTCAATATTGTAGTTGGAGTCTTTGCTAGAGCAATAAGGCAAGAGAACAAAATACATAGGAAATAAATAAGTCAAAGTATCTTTATTTTTATATGATAGCATCCTATATTTAAAAGACTCCAAGGACTCCACCAGATAATTCTTAGATCTGACGAACACTTTCAGCAAAGTCAGGATACAAAAATCAGAAAATTTTTTGCATGCTGATAATGAACATACTGAGAAAGATATCAGGGAAACAATCCACTTGTCATAAATTGATAAAATATCTGAATGAGTGTAACCCAGGAGGAGAAAGAGCTATACAATCAAAACAATGAAATGTCACAACTCTTAGGAAAATGGCCATTTCCACCGCGAGCCTTAGGACTTGGTGTCTGTTCCCATCACTCTCTTCGACCCCATTAAAGTTATTATTGCAGGCCTTCTGCAATGCTTCTTAAAACCTGTCTTATAACCTGAGTCCAAGCTGCTAACAGGTTTATAAGAGAGAGAGACAGAGAGAAAAGTGACATGGTGGAAAACATGTTCCAATATATCAGAAAGGGTAAGAAAACGTCCAAATGGAATGGTGTGGATGGGTAACAGACTGCAAAGAAGGAAAAGTGGCAGAGCCCGAACAGTCCAGCTCTGCAGAAGGATCTGCCAGTAATAACAAATATCTATAATTTCAGCCCTAGCTTTTCTTTTCTTTTTTTCACACAAGTGGCTTTTCATTCTTTTTTAAATTCACAGTGAAATCACCTTCAAATACAATTTTCTACGTATGTGCATTTCCCCCAATTCAGACACCCTGGCCAACAGTGAAAAGCAATGAAAGAGAAACAAGTCAGCAAGAGAAATATCAGACTCTCACATTGAGCAACCCCCAAAGGCACTATGCCCTTCCCAAAGTAAGGATTCACTTCTGGCAGGAGGAGAGGGCAGGGCTGAGTCTGGTCTAAGAATCACAAAGCATAGCTCAGCATTTCCGGGCACAAAGGAGGATTCTTAGCCAGCGAGATGCCCCTAAGAAGATTAATTATTGATTTTCCTATAAATCATCTCAGGTGATTGTTGTTTGTTTTCCCTCCCAGGATGATAAACGTCTGATTTTACTTTTGTTAAAATAAATTCCTTCTACTTCAGTGCAGTTAAATGAAGACCAAAAGAAGAAGTCTCAGAGGAAGGATTTTCCAACATGGTAGTCAGGGGAGTCAACTGTGTTCTGACCTTCATGGGGTACCAAGGGTTAGGACCTCACACAACTTCCAGGGGTCCCACAGTTGTGAGGTCTATGGATTTTATGTAGGAAGACAAGTGCTATTTGGACATAGTTACATTTGTCAGGAGTGCTCTTGAAGTCTGTGATTGCTAGGTGTCACTCATCACAGAGACCAAGATCCAGAAGACTAGCTTTGACAAAGAACATCATGGAAGCAACATGGTGGCTTACCTTCCTGCCTCCAGTGTTGATTCGAAGAGGTGTCAGAAAGGGGTCGAAGATCATGTGACTGGTCTCTATGTTGACTGGTGACTGCCGTTTTCCAACGGAACAAAGATTCCAAGCTGAGTTCACCAATCCCCAGAAGGAAGGAACTAGGAGTAAAATAAAAATTATAAGATTAGGCTGGGTGGAAAAAGCAACATATTAAAGGAAAACTAAAATTACAAAGTGGTAAACAAAGTGTGTCCAGTAATATTCTGATTCAAGGAGATCTCAAGGTGTTGTCATGGTATTTCCCAGGCTTCAATCTTGTTCAATTTCTCTAATATCATCTTCATGACCTCTGAAGGTCAGATTTTCTTACTTTGTGCACATACTGTAGCCTCTTTATTGTGTTTATGCTTTGGTACTAACTTTGTCTTTTAAGTCATATCTTCTTTGCAACATGTTCAAAGTACACAAGTATTTAACAACTCCAGAGTAGACGCTCTGTTCCTCTCCTAGGTGGAAATGATGTGAGAATCAGTGGTGTCCAATCCTGAAGTTATCTGAAGCTTTTCAAAATCATTTGACATTTATAAGGTGTTTTTTTGTGTTTTCTGTCAAGACCAAACTGAGGGAATGGTTTATTTTTATGACCCCCAAATCAAAACTAGACAGGAGCTTAGCAACTTGACTCTATCTTTGTTTGGTTCAACACTGAGTCATTAACCTAATGTTCCAGCAACTGAGGAACGTGATCATTTGAAAGACAGGAAAAAAAAAATCACACCGAGAGCTGAGTGCAGATATCCAAGGGAAAGCTGTCAACTCACTTCCAGTGTTCCAGTAAAACACCTGTTAGCATAATTATTTATAGCATTTCCAGTTTTGTTTCCTTGTATTTAAGTTAGCGGATTAATAGGAAGAGTTAACACTCAAAGTTTATTCATGAAGAAACTATACCTTTAGCATTTACTGTCTCATCAGTATTTCCACTGAAGTGCAGAAACCAGAAACCAGAAACCGTGTATCCTTCATTTTTCCCTGTGAGTGTTTGGTCATTCATCTACTGATTAACCCACAGTATATGTAGTTAGCTCCTACCTTTTTGTTCTGCCCTGGGTTAGGCTGACTCTCAAGGAAAGAATAAAAGGATAAAAATAATGAGGACCAATAGGTGAGACTAATTGGAGGGTGCTGTGTGGATATTGATGAAGGGCATCCAGTTCATCCTTGGAGGAGTGGAACCAGACAGTGATTATTGATGAGCATTGCAATCATGTCATAATCCTCTTACATGAATCTGCCATCTTAGAAACTCAAGTTTAATGCAGATGTTAACTTACAGCAGCCATTGTGCCTGCTCATATCATAATGGCTAAAAACTAAAGCCTGAGAGGAGTGTAAGAAACACTTGCCAAACAGTTGTATAGCACTGAAAAACTGTGAATGATGGGATGTTTGGTCCCATACAAACCCCAAATTCTCAAGTCAACCCCGGGCAGCAAATTCCCCGAGAAATACTTTAACACCAACATGCGATGGGATTCATATCTAATTTGACTTAATCCATTCCAAGGAGCCTCTGGTAGCTCTGTTCCCTTTAGGTTAAGGAGTTTCAATTGGCTTCCTCAACATGAGCAATTTTTAACATGGCAGCACTTGCCAGAAGGAGAACCAGAAGGAAGAGAAAAAGATACAAGAGTAAGAGTAAAAGCAAGAAAACTTACTCATGGACATGTGCTTCCTTGATGCCCCCAGTTCTTATTGTGTAAATTATGTTATCATTGAAAACTGCTTAACATGTTTACAAGACACCACATCCTAGCAACACTATAATATAGAAAGAAGTTTTTGCATTAAAAATGTACTTTTCAGATGGGGCGTGGGGGTAGCAGGATGAGAGGAGGGAGGGAGAACTGGGATTAGAATGTAAAGAGTTAATAATTTTTTAAAGATTGTACTTTTCATCTGAAATGTTCTCTGAACCTTAGGTGTTGTGTTGGGACCTTGTGTTGTTTGGTACTGGGTACCTATCCATCAGTTGTTTTCTGCACGTTGATCAGCTGTGGCTTTTTGTCATGGTCTACATCTGCTGCAAAGAGAAACTTCTTTGATGTGGTATGAAAGCTACATTTCTCTGTGGGTGTAAGGATAAGCATTTTAGAATGAAGTTAGGAATTGCCATGGTTTAGTAAAGTGGCAGTAGGAGGTTGTTCTTTAGGATCTGTGATTCACTAGCACTGCATAGGCAGCCAGGTTTCCATTATTGGGCATGATTTCTCCTGTTGTAACAGACAGCTGTTGGTTATTGCAAAGATGTGAGCACCACTATTGCATCTTTAGGAATGTCCCACCTGCTGGTCATTGTAGTCATCTAGGTGTCACATTTTGGTAGGGGCTATTGATTACTTCCTTCCCTTGACAGTTTGCATAGCACCTTTTTGTACTATGAAAGGTAGTCTTTAGGACAGAGGCTTCTAGATCACTTCCAACTCAAATCCTCTGGGTCCTGTGTCCATGGTGTCTTCCAAAACAGGGACTTTCCTTCAACTTCTGTGAGGCAACTAAGGGCAACAGAAACGACTTATATTGTTTTTGGAGTCTCTTGGAATTCCCTAACCAACAACTTGAAGGAGGTTTCTCATGGCTGAAAATGGATTTCTGCAAGATAGTCTATGGCCTTTGGGGAAAGCATTATCTCCTCAACTAGCACAACTTCATTGATGCACACACACAGACACACATGAGAGAGAGATGTAGAATATACATACGTGTATATATGCATTTATATATACTATATGCAATAATAAACACAAAATAATGTGACTCTCTAAGGCTTTTTCAGACATCCTAATTGTTATTTGTCCATCTCCCTTCCAAATAAAAGACATCCTTTTCCATTTCCCCCTTCATATCACCACTTCATATCCTGCTATTTCCTCCTCTAGAGCTCCACCATCACAGTGTCTTTTTTACCTTCCTGATTTCTTCAGTTACTCCTGTTCATATACTCTTTGATAATAAAGACATACATCTGTGGTGTGTGTGTGTGTGTGTGTGTGTGTGTGTGTGTGTGTGTGTGTGTGTGTTCTCTGTAGGGCAGCTGCATGATAAACACAGTTACAGCTGGTGCACATTACATTTCATCTACTCCCATGAAAACCATTAACAAAAATAATTCTAATCCCATAAACGGTCTGTAAGGCAGCCTTTGTATGACACGTTCAGTGAGCAGATGCTGCCATGCCTTGCTAATAAACTTCATACCCAAAAAAGTGCCCCTACAAAAAACACAAACAGCAAAAACTTTATGAGAACATCTGCCTTTGCTTTTACTGGGTACGGAATTCTTTATGACAGTTTCAGGGTTTTATATCCCCTCTTCACCATCAAGGCCCCTGCCTCTCATTCTAACCACCTGCTTAGGAATTAAAGAGTAACCAAGAAACAGTGTCCTTTGCACACTGTGTCCCTCATTGGCGCAGAACCTCAAAGGGTACTGAGTTTATTCACAACTGAATGGCAAGTTTTTAAATATATATTTTTCAGAATTAGAAGCCACCTTAGAGGTCATTATACCTAAATGCATCCATGGCATGGAAGCCCTGGATCAGAGAGTAAAGTACTCCACCCACAGCAATGGTGTCAGGCATAGGCCAGAAAGTACAGAGAAAAGACCAGAATCAGCTCTGAAAACTCCAATTGCCACAAGAGGTCCACTTCTCAAAATATGTCTCTCTACAAGGTTCCAGTCAGAAGCAGGAGATTACACCCAGGGAAGTTCATGTTTAATTATTGCCCTGACCCTTGAAAGACTAGTGCTTCCATTTCTCTTTTTGTAAATCAAGACTAACATCAGTGTCTATTTGGCAGTGCAGACAAATTTTAAAGATAAAAGTCCAAATGAAACTCCTTCAAAAATCAGCTATGTCAAATAAAGGCAGGATTTGAAAGCAACTGAACAACTTTGAGATAACACAGATAGAATGGTCTAAGAGAAAAATATGTTGAGGTCAGGGGAGGTGGCATGCTTTGGGGTTCGCTCTTCAGAGGCCCAGGAAGACATAATAGAAGGTATTGTTACAGAATGCTGTTCCAGAGGCTGGAGAGATGGCTCAGACATTAAGAGCATTGCTCTCCCGCAGGACAAGTGTTTGGCTCCTGGCACTTAAATGCACAATCTCTCTGTCTCTGTCTCTGTCTCTGTCTCTGTCTCTGTCTCTCTCTCTCTCTCTCTCTCTCACACACACACACACACACAAATAAATAAATAAATAAATAAATAAATAAAAATAAAAGTTTAGGTTGCTATTGGGCTAGATGGACCAGACCAGATTTTGATTCCCATAGAAAGAGAAGTCAATGCTTGCTACTAGAAGCAATGTGAATTTTGAGGATGAATTAAAGTGTGGAAGCCACTACAAGGACCATGAGTGATAGATGGACAAGGAAGAGATCTACAAAAGCTGTGCAAGGGAAGTACTTTAGAATGGAGCCTTGGAGGATGGGAGGACAAGGAATGCTTGCTTGCTAAAGCTTGGGAGTGAACTGGCTCACTTTAGCTGTGTAGAACTACATCATACTTATGAGCTAAGACACAGGTTTTGGGTTTATGCAGAGTCCTCAATGATGGCCATGGTTCTTTCCAAGCTCCATAGTAGCACCCTTAAGACTTACAGGCACCCCATGTCACTTTAGAAGCAGAGATGGAGTAGTAGAATGTGGAGGTATTGCTCCCATTTTTCAAATTTTGAAATCCTGTTGAATTTTTTCATCTTAATTACTATGGCTAGTTCAATAAATCAGATTTTAAACTTTATTCTTGAAAAAAGGATAATGAGGTATCTGCTAATGCAGTCTTTTTCTAGCTTGACCAATACAATTTATTGTGGGGAAAATGTAAATGAAATGAAATTGAGTGAGAACCATTTTAATTAATTAATAGTCAACTAGTCTGAAAACACTGGAATTCCATCATCCTTGGCATCTCTTTCACACACTCTTCTAATTTACATATAAACTAGAACACACAACAGACCTGAATATCTTTGCAAATTAATTTTCACAGAGACTAAACAGAGGAATTTAACTGCTGCATCACAACTATGTATTTATCTTGCCAAAATATTTCCCCCTTGGCAATGCTGTCATTCTTACCATGAACTAA